TATAAATGAAACAGAAGGAAAGAGATGGTATTTGGTATAAGAGATGTATTTGGTATAAGAAGGGGGGAAAGTAGGAAGTAAAGATATCCCAGGAGAATGGAAATACTTATAAAAGGGGGGGAAATTGAGCTGGGTTAATTAATATTAACTAAATGTCTTGGATAAAAATTTTTAACAAACAATTTTCTGTTATCAAAACGTGAAAGACTTTCTTTAAAAAAACATCTAAAAGGACTATGTCTTTCTAAAATTGAGAGACAATAGTGCTTATCATTTATAAATCATACTTATTAAAATGATAAAGTAAAAGGTATTTTCATTAAATATTCAACGTGATATAAGTAATTTGAAAATATTTCATATGTAAATTTTTTACATTGATATATTTTAAGAATTTTGAAATACTGTTTGAAAGAAAGAAGAATTTCAAATAATGTGATGTAGGGAAGAGGATTTTCCTGTGCCACATTATTTGCTAAAATTGGGTATTATATCCAATGTGGTTGATATAAATGGCAAACTAAAAATCCTTTTTCAACTTTTGATTGGCTTTAGAAGTCACAGAAGCATAATATTATTATGTTCAAATGCTTTTTTTTCAACTACAAAAACATCTTATTCAATGAGTACTCAAACATGTATTTCACACACACACACACACACACACACACACACACACACACACAATCCTCCAGTTGAATGCCTGTGAGAATTGACATTGGGAAAAGAATTATGTTTATCTTAGGATAATGGTGAAGTAGCCTTGGAGAATCTTGACTTTATGTGAAATTCTCCCTTGTGTTTATGAATAGGATGTACAGCTAGATTCTGTAACTTGTCTCTACTTACTCTTTATTTCGGCCTGTATTAAGAATCATATCCTTGCCACCGAGTCTGTATGGTTTGTAATTTTATTTGTGAATATGAAGCTCTTTGTGATACATCAGCACCTAGTACATAATGAGAGTAGAATTCAGAAAGCATATAAGATTCTGGGCTTAAACATGGAGAATTCTGGGTATTCATAATATAGATGTATGTTAGATTTAAAGTAGACAGCGTTATATTCACATGGCTCTCTCTCAGAACAGCAGCACCTTTACCCTGCTTTCTCCACACTTGACTGTGGGTTCCACAAGAGCAGAGACCAGCTATTAATCATGTTTGAATTCCCAATGAATAGCACAATACTTCTCCCCAAAATAGACGTGCAGATTAATTAACTAATTTGAGGGCCATATAAGCTGAAGTGTTTGGGTGTATGTTTGGGAAGGTAAATTAGAACCATAACATAAATAACCCTCTGTATTGTCACAAAGTAGATCCAAGAGACCCTGCAAAACATGACACCATATAACTCATTCTTCAAGCAATAAGGCCAGAAAATAATTCATTCATGATTCTAAGTCATCTATTATTTAGTCAAATATCTACACTTGTAATCTAGAGATTTAGAGATTTTATCTATAATCTACCCACAATAAAAGTTTAATTGGGAATAAAGTACCTTATCTATAAAAAATGCATATTTCATTTTCTCCATTAACAGATTTTCCATTTTTATTTATTTCTAATAACCTCACCCAAAAGCCAAGTGGGTTATTACATATGAAAAAATGCCTGAAATTAAATGATATGCAAAACAAAAGTAGTCACTACTTTAAGATACCTCATTTTGTTTTATAAAAATTGTATGACAATGAAGTGAGTCTGACTTAGAGACACATTTAAAGGATGTCTGGCCATTTTCAGAACCCTGTTCTCAGACACTCACTTAGAAATGATTAGACAATTACATATGAGAGCATATAAATGTTTTGATAGGAGAGGAACAAACATGGGTGTTTATCCAGGTAAATTAGAGAAGTCAGAAAGATAAACTGTATGACTTCCTAATATAAAAGCTAAACCTTTAAAGAAAAATTAGAGTGCTTAATATTTTCCATGGCCATCCCTCTCTTTTATGTTTAATCTCCATAATTGATTTCAATAGTTTTGTATTTTAGACAGGTTGATGAATAGAAAACTTCTGAACTTATTGACCTCTTAGTGGCTATAACGTACTTACGAAGATGGATTGAGAGAGGAAATTAGGCAATGGTGTGCTGGTAAATGCTTACCAACCGGTTCTCAAAAAGAGAGAGAAAGGCCTTGATTTGCAGTATTTGCTGATTTCTATGCTGAAAATACTTCTGCCATAGCCTCTATCAGGCAAAGAAAATGATGCCTCTTAAAAATGGAGTTTAGGAAGGAATAGTCACAATTGGCTGTTTCAAGCTGGGTTAGCCAGCTTCAGAGCATCATTTAAATTAGGTCATATTAAGCTAATAAACATTTTATGAATGTAGTTGATTAAACACACACACACACACACACACACACACACACACACACACATATATATATATAATGTAATGAGTAATTTTTTTAAAACTTTGATTAAATAACTTCAGAAAATAGTGTTTAATAATATATGCCTCTCTTGAGGATACACTAAATCCATAGTTGTTTGAATGCCCTGAAAAGTATTGTATATAAAAATCTACTTAACATTGTTTAATATAGTATACCTTTAATATATTTTGACTCCTAGATTTTGTTTTGTCTCAGAACACATAATAACATCAAATGTGGCTCCGGCTGTGTGTAACCAGATTACCAAGAAAAGGTACTTATTTGTGTAGAAAGGTCATAAGAAAAAGACTTTTTAAAAGGATACATTAGTAAGTAGAGAATATTCTGTTCGGTCTTCCACGAGACTGTGCTATTTTCAGAAAATGTTTAATTTGTGCAATCATATGTCTGTTCACTTCTTAGCTATTTATTGAGCATCTACTATATTTGAAGAACTGTCAAACACTAGGCACTGGAAGTTTTCAGTTGTTTTGTTTCACTTATAAGGGTATGTGCTCCGTTAGGAGAGGCCAATTTTTGTTTTCTTTTCTTTTTTTAATTTTTATTTTGTAGGGAAGAGAGAAAAAAGACTATCCTAAAGCTTACTTCTAATAAATACTTACATCTAACACACCTTGTTACATGAGGAGAGCTACATGCAGCTATTTAATACCTCAAATATAGAGAATGCTTCTTAAGAATGTTTCTGTCACTTTCCCCTCTAAGTATTCAACATTAAATGTCCTCTCTGGATATTAATGTGTTAAAGCAATAGCATTTAATAACAACCAATTTGATACTATGAGAATGTCTCCAAGTGCTTTACATCCACCTTTGGAAGTTATTGTAACTTATGTTCACACATAACTATTTATAAAACTGAGCGTGTTTTGAAAAACAAAAGAGCAAGACTAATGGCTAAATGTTCACTGAAGGAAACCCCCCCCCACAAGAATCCAACTATCTTTTTTGCAGCTGATTTCATGCCATAGTCTCATTTTCTTTTAACCATAATTCACAAATGATCATACAACATGTAAACCTCAGTACATTCGCTTTTGTTTTGTTATCCTTCGGAGAAATGACAGGTGAATTTTCCGCAGAAGAAGTAATTGACACTTGACCTTTGGCGGCAAATATGATTTGTTGTTACATCAAAGTAACTCTGATGTTAATTATCTTAGCAGTACATGATTATTTAAAGAAACTAGAGCATGACAGCTTTAAGATATGTTTGTTGCTTATCATTATGTATGAATTATTATAATATTAAACATATTGATACTTAAATAGTTTACTTTTTACCACAAACACTTTCCTTACCATGCAAGCATAGAAATTAATGGATCTAAACACATTGAAAGGAACAAAACCATATGCATGCATTTATCCATGGACCGAGTTTAAAACACAGCATCAGTATGGAGGAACACGCCAAAAAATTATTTTCTGATTTCTCGATTGAGAGCATAAAATTCTTACCATCACTGTCACCAGCACTTAATTGCTTTTGTAAAGCTACAAGGTAATTTTCCTTCAGCTAAGTATTTGAAATGAATATCTACATACCATAAGGCCATATGGTGCCCATTTACAGTAAATACAAAGCGTCTAAAAAATAAATTTAATGAAAGTTGTTCAGAGCATTCTTTTCCTTTTCATTCCCTAATTTTAACAATACACTTGCAAACAAGACTTGCTCAAAGGATACATTACCTGGAACATTTCTAGTTAATTGTACATCCTTGGAAGACAACCAAACACGATCTCTTCTAATATTTAGTTATACTACATTGTTAGCGGAATATTTATCCATCATAATTACTCATATGTCTACATTTTGAGTAGTTATTATAGTAGACCTATCCTTGATAATACAGATATACTACATTTTATATTGGTTAAATTTTTATTCATAAAGTATCAGGTATTTATAACGGAGTAAATTATATCACAAGATGCAACTTTACAACTAAACATCTCACAGAAAAGAAAAATAAAACACTTATATTTGAATCTACAGAGTCATTGATGTTTCAAGCAATGAGTAAAATACAAATGCTTGAATTAAAACAGCACTATTGTCGGAGGCTAATGGTTCTGACACAAATTTGAATTCACTACAAGTATATTTCAAAAGGCAGAGAAAACGCTACCCTCTTAGCGACCAGAGCACCGCACAAAAGAAGTTTCTCCCCAAATTTTCTACCTCTTTTCCATGAGACCTAACCTCCTTAATGAACATAATCATGGGAAAAAGCAGGGCAGGAAATCAGAGAGAACCAGGCATAGAAAGAGATTCAAAAGGACAGGTACTCAATGTTATAGTCCGGCAAAAAGGGAAATATTTTAAAATGGTATCTGTAATACAGTTATATTAACAATAGTTGTATGGTCCTTCCTTGGGGGTGGGAGTATTATCTTGACCCTTGACCTCTGCTCACATAAGAGCCTGAGAAATTAAAATCATGCCTATCATCGCTGTCTGTTTTATACAAATATATTATCTTTATTTAAACTGCTACAAAGAAAAAAAATTCTATTCTGAAATAGCCCAAGTCTGGTTCATAACAGTCATGTGACTTTTTTTTTCTTCCTGCCAGCCATGTGCTCTGTATCATTTTACTCTGAAATAACTATGCGGATTTCAGCTCAACCTGCCTTTGCTTAGAATGCATGACATACCCCGTGAGGGAGCCTGAGAACAGACTCCCTTGAAAAGCAAGGTTCTCATAGTTGGCCTGTAACCATGGAAGCAGATGCCGTTTTTCTTCTTACCCCTGCTTACCTCTTTGCAGCCTCGAGCTGCTCCCTATTGTTACAAGGGGTACGCCTTGATTTTTCTTCATCATGACCGAACTTGCCTCTTCTTCAAAGGGCATGATGCTGCAGGTCATTGGTCTAGACTGTTTGCACGGTCCAGAGAACAGCCTTGATGTAACCCTTGCTCCGTCTGCGCCACACCACCAGCCGTGCATCTGTAGACTGGGGGACATTGGAGATCTGTATTTGAAAAGAAGTCTGTCTGATTTTGCCATTGTGCCTTTTCACTCATCGATCGAATGAATATCGAACCTTCTGTCGTTGCATGTGTGAAATAGATAGCTTAGCAAGCACTTTTGTGCCCAACCTGTGTGGTGGGCCAAAAGGTTTTCCTTTTAGACTCGAGAATTTTTTCTTTCAGACTTTATGAATTTTGTGTTAGCTTAAATTATGTATATGCTGTTTAAAAGATGCAACTGTTATAATGACCACTTGTGTTGCTTCATCAGCAGTGACTTTTTTTTGGTCCTAGAAGGAACATTTTCCTTTCTGTCAACTATGTGTTTTTTTTTTTCCCTTTTGTGGCTTTTAAAGGTCTTGTAACCCATTTATATTTTTTTTTTCCTTTTGTAGCTTTTAAAGGTCTTATAACCCATTTATGACTAGAAGTGCTGTAACTATACCCTGTAGAGCCAAAAAATTGAGGTATCTTTTTAAGAAGACGATTAGATGGTGTTTGTCATTTAACAGATTTAATTCCAGAAAGGTGAACTTGAACTGCTTCAAGGTAATTTCAGTGATTTGTAAGAGTAAGTAAATCAAATACTCACATTGATTTTAAGTTAAACAAAATGTTTGATAAGTTCGGTTATTGGAAAGATTTTTCTCTGCTTTTTTTCCCTTTTTAACATTTTGTGAAAATGTTAGTCTGATGTCTTGAAATATACCTAAATACATTAATGATTTACTGTGATTTTGTATCTTAAATAAATACCATATATTTATAATATTCTTATGACGTGATTTAACTAGAAAGTATACAATATGAAAGTAGGTTGCTTATATTTCATTTTAATACAATTACAATTCACTGCTTGTCATCGATAACTGATGTTAACAATCACCGATGGCAACCATACCACCTGCTCATTCTAAAATGAATTCTTTAACGGAGCCCTTAAAAAATCAGAATCACTTCAAAATGTCTCATATGCTCATGTTCAGTATGTTGCTTAGCAAGCATTGTCTGTGTGTCACAAGTTTTGTTTTGTTTTAAGAAACCTCTGTCTCATATTTCAAGGCATATACCTACTTTCTCTAATTGCCACAGGCAAAGGGGAGGTCCATGACAGAATAAAGAAGGTTATTGTGACAGATGAAACATAATTCACAATGAGTACTCCTTTCATCCAGCCTTAAGTAGCAGAGGATTACTTGAATTTGGTGGCAGAATGTATGAGCTGATTTTATTAACATGTAAGGACAGGCCAAAGGCAGAAAACCTATTTCTCCTCAGCTGGGTGGTGGTTATTTTGTGTGTGTCTGTTTGGGAATCTTATTTTGTTCACCTCAAATAGAAGAGAAGCTGGACCGAAGAGATTCTGAAGAATTGGAGGGAGTACGTGGGAAGGGTAGGAAATAGGAAACTTAAAGCAGTAAAAGTTGGGGGGTTTTCTATATCAATGAAAAACAATGAGTTCAATATATTTCTACATTAATTGGCATGCACATGAAATAAAGTCATACTATTTTTTAACAAACATATGAGCTGCAGGTAAATTTTATTTCATAAACTTAACTTATATTTCTTTAGATGATGATTGTATTGTCTTTTGGATAGTGTTAATTTCAAATGGTTTATTAGGTTTCCAGATGTCATTTAGTTTTACATGAGGGTTTAATACTAAATTTAAATTAATTAGATGTGTTTTTATTGGGATATTTTACTTGATTTCAATTGTTTATTTTTAATGACAAGGATTTTATTTTTATAAAATTTTATATTTAAATATGCATACTTTTTTATTTCTCTTTCTAACAAGGTCAGATTTTTAGTTAATTAAAAAGACAGGCAAATCATTGTACTTAATAAAAATATGTGCATCACAAAGAAATTCCACACCACAAAATCCATTGCATCACATTAACCATTTGAATTTAGTTATTCCTAAAAATTTGTTTCTTTTGGCTTTATTTTCAAATACCTTATAGATGTTGTAGTTGAAGTGGCTTTTTACATGTAAAAAGAAAATAAGCAGTTATTCTGTCTACTAGTAGAACTCATAACAAAGTGCTATTTCTCTGCTATGATCTTATTAATCATGGTTTGTTATTCCAGAAAGTGAAAAAAACATCTAAATTCTAAATTGAGGTCTTTCTCAATATATATAATGGATACACTTCATATTTCAAATTCTGTAATAAATAACTCAGATGCACTAAAATTATGTTGTATTCTCTAGAAGAAGTCATAAAAACTATAATCTACAAGTACTTCTTTTATATATTTTTTAAAAGTATAATGATATGGTTCTGTTCTATCTATTGAGTATATAACTCACATTAGCTAAAATGATTTTACTTAAGTTGGCTTTGTAGCTAAAAATTTAATAAAATATGCAATAAGATTCTTCTACCATAAAATATGTTAACACTGCTAATGAATACTTATCATTGCATTAAAGATTTGCTTCTATTAACTGATTTTTCATTTCTCTTTGTGCTGTGATTGAATTGTTGTTGTTCAAAACACAGTGATTTAAAAGAATGTAACTATTCTATAACTTCAGAAAGTATAAGATATCATGTCTTTATTATCTATCTGTTGATTAAAATAGAAATCTTCCTCTACTGAATTAAAAACATCCTGAATTGAATCATGTTTCTAGGGAACATTTTTAGAATGTTATTTTATATGTTTTGTTAATGCAAATAAAAGATAATCTTTAAACAAAATAAGAATTTTGAAGTGTGAAAATATGTACATATGTATTATTGTTAGATCATCTACAGAGATTTGCTATTTGTAGTTCAGATTCTCTCTAATAGTTACTCAGTGAAAACATGACGATGCACACATATTGCATTTACTAACAATTTCTACTTCTGCTGTTATTTGTTATTACTTTATGTAATTTATTTAGTATGTCAATGTAATTTATTATTACAAAATATGAATGAATTGAATGAGGACTACAGTGACATTTTTAATTAAAAATAGGGGAAAGGAGAAAACTTTACGAATGATGAGATTGATACAAAAATTACCTAAATATTGTGATTCATAGAATATAAAAACTGTAATAAATGAACCTATTTTAAATAATAGATTTTACTTCATCCATTGTTGAAATTAAAGTCAAATGGAATGTGTTGAATTATCATACCTTCAAGTATAATTCAGCATTACCCATTGACTATTATACAATATTATGGGAAAACAATTTTATTCATATGAGGATGAGATTTTGTTTTGCAATTACATAACAGCTTTTAAATACATAACACTATGTAACCTGAACGTGATATAATTATATACGCCTTAAAAAATTAACCTCTATAACTCATGATAGTGCTGTAAAAAATAGAGGTGAGTATATTTGATTTTAATATAGGATCTTTACAGAGTTACCTCTGTTTTAATCAAAATTTATCCACTGTGTTTCAAACCAGAAAAATTTTCAGATTGCTCCCTTCTTACTCCCCCTCCCTAACACACATTTTGCTATAAACTTCTGCACCAATCACTAGGAAAGACACAACTGCAGAAGCAGTTCAGGAAGCAGCCCTGTGAATGTAAAAAAATCACAGACTTTGATTTTATAAGACATGTTGGATAGGAGTCAAAACTGCCACATGCAGTGTGAAAAAATGCCACCCTGGTGTGAACAAAAGGTTTAAAATGGAGTCAAGAAGCATGCAAGCTCTCTATGTCTAAGCTTTTCCTGTGAATTGTCTGCCACAACCTGCAGGGTATCAAGTGGGCTAGGAAGAATAGGGAAGCTCTTGGAAGCTACAACTGAGAAACATCAGCAGTCAAATGTGTTAATTTTTTTTAAAAAATTTGTTTTGTTTTGTTTTGCTTCATCTAGGCATCATTATACAAAACTGTTTTACCCAAAACATAAAACAAATCCAAAAAAGTCACATAATGTGTGAAGTAACTGTTGCTTACAAGTGAATTGTTAAGTTTTTTTGTGTGTGTGTGTGTGTTTGTGTGTGTGTGTTTGCATCCCTTCATTTATAGCAGTTACCAACTGTACTTTATATTTTAAATTCCTTGCTTTGTGGGATTGAGATTTATTTACAGAGGGGTGAATAGACCCTGAGTTTTATTTACAAAAGGGTGAATAGGGGGAAAGATTCATAAAATGCTGATTACTAGAATAAAAATGTAATGATAATACTCATGGTTGATGACCTAAATTATCAACAACAACAACAAAAAAATGTAGGAAAAGACCAAGAGTTTTCTATTGGAAGCAAGCATTTCATATCTTAATAAATAACATAAGAATAATTTTGAATGACTATTCAGCAGGAATAATCTTTCAGAAAAAAAACTATTGCTACAATATACTACTGCAATAATATACTAATATTTATACCTTTCCTAATATGTTGCTATGTAAAAATTTACTCCACATCCAAAAATGTTTGTTAGCTAAAAATAATCAGTCAAATAAATCTGAAGTTAAACAATCATCCCTTGCTTAAATAACTGAAAAAGGCAAATCAATTGTAAGGATAATTAAAAAGTATACTACTATGTCATAACATCGACTTCAATAATCTTAATATGTTCATAAAGGTATACACGAATGCTAATTATATGATAAATTATGAATAGCATTTAAAGAAGGTAACATTTCCTGGGTGATTATGATCTAATCAATACAGTGCATCTAAATGCATCAAGAAACATCTTTGATGAGCATTGAAAAGATCCTTAAACTTTCAAGCCAGTTATATTACATTTGCATCTTATATCTTATTAAGGATTGGGTCTAAAGCCAGCAAATCCCATCGGTTATGAATGCAGGTCAAGACAGGAACATTTTTCTATTTACTCTTTGTAACACTGGATAGAAATCAATATGTTACTTTCATTACAACCACACAATCAATTCCATTTAAAGTATAATACAACAGCCAAGTCCAAGGACAATATGGATCCTTGGGAAAAGCTCATACAATTTGCAGGGCTGTGTTTGATATAGCTC